CCCAAAAAAAAAAAAGCTATAAATTCATTTTCACAAATTAATTGGTATAAAATAGGCAGATAGCCTGCTGTAATCGCGATTGATTGTAAATGCAAACCTACGAGGAGCGTGAGCTGTCATTCCCCCAGAAGATACAGCGCGAGGAAACGTGAAGAACTGCAACAATGGAATCCGGTTTTGGAGGCGGCTAGAGGCATCTATGGTGTAGGACTGTGATATACCTTTTTCAGATGATTCTCAGGCATACCTGCCATTCAGGCAACCCGCATGCCAAAAGGAGCACGCAGGGGATTTTGAAGGAATGGGGAACAGGACGAGGAGGGGCGAGTGTAAGCCGTTGTGTCTCCATTTCACCTTCCTCTAGTCTAGACAGAGAAACCAAGAGAGAATACCAGGCCAAATCATACCCCGATGATAAATAAAAATCCAGACGGCCGGAGGCCGAAGAGCGAAATGCCTTCATTTGTGAATGGGATTTCTGTCCGACGCAGTATTGACATTGAAAAGAATGCTCATATGCATGTCTGCTTAAGGCATTCGTATACACGCTGAAAATTGACTCTTCACAGATGTTTTTCATTTGGCATCGATATCTCGTAAGAGACATTCCTGCTGCGGCTGCCAACTGAGGGTTAGCGACGCGGGCCTGTAAAGCACCGATCCGCCTCTTCACTTCTGCTTTGAAAGGCGAGAACGTGAATTCGATGGGATTTCACCAGGGACTGTAGGGGGGGGGGGGGGGGGGGGGGGAATGGGGGGGGGGGGGGGGGGGGGGGGGGGAGGAAATGAATGGAGTGGGTTGGGTATCGAGGAATGACCCTTTTTGTGCACTTGAGCATTGTCCAACACGAAAATGAAATCATTGTCCGGTCCAATTATGGAACTAAGTTCATCCAAAAACTCGGCAAACGCAACACGTGTGAGACCTGGCTCCATTGTCTGGTGGTGCAAAAGTACACGAAGAGGAACGACCTTAACTTGACGAGCTGAAAAACCGAAATTTCCATTCAGTCATGCATTAATGAGCAAGCTCCTTTTCGCATCTCTCTCTCTCGCAGTTGCGCCATCGAAAACGAATCAAGAATGGAATCGAAACTGGCATGTGCTTACAGACGCCAGACGAAAGAGGAAACGAAAGCTCCTAGACAGGCCAGAAAGTCGACAGTCGAAGCTGTTGTGCTCTCCCTCAGCTCATCGGCTGGCCCGTGCGAATCCTTCGGGGGGAGCGGGTTAGCGTCATTGCAGGAAGGCCTGAGAATCACCCGAAAAAGGTACATTAGCTGAATGTCTATAATGTTTTCAGGCAACAGGAGGAGCAAGTGCAATGAGACAAACTGTGATTGTGATGCTTATGAAACATTTTTAGTACAGAGGACTCTGCTTCATTGCCTCGCAGAAAAGTGTGTTAACCATAGTGAAATCACTGCAAAAGAAGTGGCTATCATCGACCTGGGAATATATGATGAGGGATCTCTCACTCAGCTATTCTTGGGCAGCTTCTAGGTTTTTGCAGACTGTCTGCACAATGTGTGCATTCAGCAGCGCCTAGCAAATACAAACTGAAGTCTGAGGTTGCTGCTGTTAAATGACCAGTCATTTTCCTTTTAGTTTTCTCCATGTTTATCAGCTTATTTCCACCTTTTTGCCATACATAAAACTCAATATTGTTCCAGGTATATCACCATGACTTGTATGCATTTATGAGTAACTCCAAGAGTTACAAGTGAGCATCTATAACATTATAGGTATCTCATGGGTATCTTTATTTGCGTCTCTTTCTGGGTAAAAAAAAAAAATTATATTGATACCTATGGACTGGAATTTTATGAGCGACATTATAGGTAACTCTATAGGTACCTTTATGGATTTCATTATATGAGTCAGTTGAGGTAAAAATGAGGTAAAAAAGAAACTAATTTTGATTCCCTTAAGACGGGGGCTCATAGGTTATATTGTAGGTAACTCTATAGGTACAGGTTTTACAGTGGACACATGGATCTTAATTTTTTCTAATGAAGAAGCAAAATAAGGAATGAAAGTAGTCCATTTTGTTTATTTTCGGGAATATTTAAACGAAAGCTTAGGAAATATAAATAATAATATGTGATCCCTCGGACGAAATTTTTTCGTATTTATAAGTGGAACACAAAGGAATAAAGTTATATAATAATATCGGTGGATCGACGGAATGTTTAATGATGTGCTTCCAAAATTGGGGGCGAAATCGGTCCTCCGCGTTTTCCCTTCTCGAATCTCTCTTTCTGAGGACGATTCACCTTTCCAAGTCATGAACATCAAATGTGCAATAGAGTGCACAAATGGGGAATACAATGGGGAAAAAAGAGCTGAGTGAATTATTCGTGCATCGAGATGCCGGTGAAATTGCGCCGAGGTTTCTAGGTGCAATATATGGCCGATGTTTCTCCGAGATTCCCTTCATTTAATGTCGTCTGGTATTCCGTTGCGAGTTGACTCCGAGTCCCCAGTGCCTCTTCCACCCGATGCGCCAACTCGATGGAAAATGCAGACAAATCTACTTCTTTTCCTCCAGACGACTCCTGAAATACTCTCAATGTGACAGGAGGGAAGCGATTCAAATTTTATTTCGCATGGAATCGAATGGTCCCCGGAGGATCCGGAGCGCGTCGCTTCAATCCTTCTCGTTTTTATCCATAATTAATTTGGATGGATCTGACAGGTTTGTCAGAGAAGGAAATTGAGCTTCACCGTATCGTGCATTTTTTCCGGGGCGTTCACCGTTTCCACGCGTCAAAGACGATGGGAATCACGTATTTACACGGGGAGGAAAGAGTGACGTACGAGGACCGTAACGTGATGGGCTCCACATGCGGTGGGAGGCGATATATCGGACATATCAGACGGGATGACTCCGTGACGTCAACGAGTTACGATCCCCCATGCAATCCGCACCGTAGCGAAGGAGGGAATGGGGCTGGGAGACGCAATCCCACGTCCAAACAACATTCCACCCCCACCTCCCATGTAGGTGTAGCTGCCCCGCGGATGGTCTTATGGCATTTTTGCTCCTCCCACCTCCCACTCGCATCGCCGAGGAGAGCCGACGTGCAGATGACAGTCCATCGCTCAGATCTCGACGAGACACGGCACATAACGGATCGCTCGGCCGTCGGTTCGGTTTCTCTGCGGAGGTGGATTTACGGCTTGAAAGCTTTTCCCGATCGACCTGGACGTAGTTGCTAAGGAAACGCTTTCGCGAGGAGAGAAAAAGCAAACATAACGACTTGGAGGTTGGCTGCTTCTTTCAAAATTCCGATACCATTGAACTCGCCGAGTTACATTTGTAGGGTTAAAAAAAAAAGAGGCCTCTCCGTTTTCTATGGCCTGTTTTTTTGCCTCGTAGATGAGCTTGCCATTGCTATCTGACGTTCTCCTTGACGCACGGAACTGGCGATGGCATCATCTTTAGGGGCATTTCGAATCTTACAATTTCTGAAGCTTTCGCCTCCACTCAACTAGTTTATTTCTATCTCGTAGTATATGAAGATCCTTGGAGGGGAAAAAATTGTTTATCTTTTATTTTTGAGGGCAGTAGTGCTACAGGGCAAAGGATCACCTGGCGATGAGGACGTGCACAGCGATGTGGTTCACCGGTATCCTCGTGATTCTCGTGTGCCACACTGGGGTCCTCGGCGGCTCCGGACCATTCCATTTCAACACCCGATTCGGGAAACGGCATCCCACCTTTCTCACTCAGACTTCCCTTCCTCGACAAGGTACCGAGTCCCCTTTGCCCTAGACCTAGAGCCTTCTTTTTCCTCGATGAATGACCTACCGCTTGCATGGGTATGCAGAGAGATTTTACCAAGGATCGAGATTCGGGAGATCCGGCGGGGGATTCCGGATCCCCAGGGGTCAACACTTCTTCAAAGGCGGTCGATTCGGCAAAAGAGACGGTCTGGACCATCCATCCTTCCGATCTCAACCCTTCATCCAATTCTTTCCTCGTGGGTCTTCGTTTTCCTTAATCACTTAAGAGGGAGGAAAGAAAAGAGAATGAAGGGAAGAATTTGTGGCTGGATTGGAACGCTTCACGATCGTCTCCTTCTTCCAGATCCATACATATCAGACGTGGAAGGTTTGGAGACGCTATCGAAGCCGGAAGGTGTGAAATCTTCTCCCGTCGGGATCTTCGAAGTCATCCTCGACGACTTCAGGTACGTATCGTCACATCGCCCCGATCCCAGTCCGTGTCTCTCTGACATTCTCCACATCGATTCTTGCAAACAGAGCTCGGCTGTGATGGATGGCCAGAGTAGAGGCAGGCTTTTAGAGGAATTTCGCGGTGGTGGAGTCGATTTTAGGAACAAACAGCCGGCCTTTGGCAAACTTACTCTGCCTCTAAATTAAAATGCAGGGAGAGACGGGGAATGGGGACAATCATCCGGCTCGTCCCTCCGAGTCCGTATGCTCGCTTTCCGTAATCATCCCGTCTCCATCCGGGTCGTTTGTCCATCCTACGACGAGGTTTCCTTTTAGAGGGCCTTCTTTGCGAAAGGAATTAGTAGAAGTCTGGGTACTGGATTGTTGGGCCGAGAGAGGAAAAATGCTGGAATGGACGTCTTCCAAGCGTCTCTCGCTACCTTCTCCTGCCCCAGTACTACCGTTCCCAGTACCCACATCCGTCCTCCCTCCACCTTTCACCCTCCCTCCACCTTTCACCCTCCCTCCACCTTCCCATCATCAATTCAATCACACCGCTCTCAAGTTTTTCTCCATTATTTCGGAAAAAAGTCGATCCAGAAAGGAAGGCGGTAATGAAGATTCAGATCGTGACTGAAAATTATCTTGTTGGATGAGATGCGAAAATAAAGCCTCTCTTTATAAAGAGGAGGCCCAGAACTGAACTGATATCGTCCAGCTTTTTAGTTCTGTCCGGCCGCATCTCCAGCCAACAACCACGGTTCGATCCACCTCGGAATAAAGGACAGAGACGATAATACTAGGTCCATAGCATACGAGCAGAGTATGTTTGTTTCCCAGCCTCGCATTTTTCCTCCGCATCATCAGAAGTCAGAGGATTCATTTTTCGAAGGCGAAGTTTTCCAATGATTTCAGCCAGACATGACGTCATCTCGAGATCCAGTAAAGTCATATAAGGGGAACCCTTAGAGCGCCTGTAGGGAATGAAAAGGGGGGGGGTTGAGAGGGGTTGCTTTACATATGCTGTACTATGCCGTACGCAAGCTGTTCTGTCCCACCGTATGGTGCAAGTATCAGGGAGAGAAAGCAGCTCCTCTGGACAAAAAGATGATTAATGGAGGCTATAGACTGTCGGCCTCGCTTCCCGAAAAAAGTGCGACAGGAGAAAGAGTTATTTGACCTATGGGAGCCGTGGGGACACTTCGTGGAAACTCCCTCGAGGAAGAGATGAATCGTGAGAGACGTGGTTCAAGGTTCAAGGTTCAAGGTTCAAGGTTCAAGGTTCAAGGTTCAAGGTTCAAGGTTCAAGGTTCAAGGTTCAAGGTTCAAGGTGGAACTTTCGGGCAGGGATGTGAAGAGGCACTTAGGCCCATCACGACCCGTGTCAAGTTCCCGCGTTCATGATAAATATTCTTGTGGGAGCATATCCACCCATTGCCCAGACACTTACAGCCATATTACTACCTTTTTGTGCTTCGTCCATGAAGGCATCTAACTTGTTCTTACTAGGCGCGAAACAGCCACTGTATCGTCATCTAACGCATTTCACTTATTTACTACCCTACAATGAAAAAAAAAAGATTCCGCAACATGACTTAATGAATTACGCAGTTACAGATTGCGCTCGCCAGCGCCAAATTGCTTGGTTCTCAAAACATGTTCGTGGATGTAGATGACTTTCCCATTCAAAATTAATTGCTTCTCTCGCTTGAATAAAATAATAGGCTAGAGAAGGTACTCGTGAGGGAGCATCCCGATTCAGCAGTCCTAAAATCGTGACTGTCTATGAAGAAGTCATGAGGAAGTTCTCTCTCGTCTTTTCCTTTGCATAGGTGATATAGGTGATTAAGGGAATCAACTTTGCCTCTGCTTTCATGAGCTTCCCAGAAGTGAGCTTTATCCCGATGCGCACTGCATCGCTGCGCACCGCAGGTTCACGCGCAGTTGTGCCTCACCCCCCAATTCACAAGTGGGTCCGGCCTGCGGCCTTGCAATTCCCTCCCGCCAATCATAGACCGGCTTCACCGTTCCAACATGGCGGCTACCAGGAGTGTCAGCATGTGTTACTTGCTCGCTGACTCGTAAACTCGTAAGACTAGGTGTATGAAATATTGCATGATAACAGGATCAACGCTGTCATGAAGAATGCCAAGGGAATTTTGTTGCGGGCCAACTTTCTGGCATGCAGATTTCACCGGAGATGCTCATAAAATTCAAACCGAGACGTCTGGTCACCCAAGACACCTATTCAACATTGAAAACATAAGTAAAGGGCTTAGCCTTTGGCCAAACTTTTGAGCGAGCTCGTGCTATATACTCTCGTAAGAAACTTGGTAAAACTAAGCCTAGGACTTCAAATCAGACGCTATCAGACATGCTAATTATAACTGGACTGGATAGGGCGATGGAGAACGCGCCGCAACCCCCACGCCGATTAGAAGGGGTGGCCGTCATCGCTCATGCCGTCAAGTCGCGAAATAAACGCGAAGCTTTCAGATTCATGACGTCACACTCCCACATGAGTTTTGACGCTCACCATTGCAGCGGAGGCTTCATTCAAACTTGTCTTGAAAAAAGTGCAATAATTCGTCAAAAGAGAATCCGAATCCCATTGTTGTGATGCGCAATTGATTTTAAGGCAGTGGCTGCACTCTGAAGACTGGGTAGCCTACCCGGTTTTCATTGACGATCAGTGCAACCTTTTCCATCTTTGAGGAGTAGAAACCCAGTCTTTATTTTCATTGCACGGACCAATGAGAGTGCGCAACATTAGTTTCCCATGCAGTCGAGTCCATTGTCTACATGACGTGGATCTTCGACTGCCCTGTCCAGTTTAGTAATATTTACCATGTCTCTGGTCACCACAGACAGCCACTATGTGGGATCGGTGAAGCCTTCCGTGATTGGTGGGAGGGAATTGCAAAGCCGCAGGCCGGACCCGCTTGTCCCATTTCCACCTCCCTTTCACCTCCCTCCCTTCCGCCTTCCTACCTCTTTCCCATTTCCTTCTTTCCTCTTCTCTCGCTTCCACCTTCTTCCCTCTTCCCCCCGCTTTCACTACGAAGGTGTAGAAAGTGGCCGTTGGCCTGCGGTCGTTTCTCCCAAGTTTAGCTCTCGGAGCATGAAAAGCCGATCCCATCTGCCTTTTGGCTCGCGACTTCTCCTGGAATCGATTATCTGTTAAAGAAAATAATGAACGAAAGGATGAAAAGAATAAAAGAAAAGAACCTTGCTGCTAAACAAAATAATTTAACAGCTGCAAGGTTTATATTATTATTATCAGAGAATCAAATGTAGGCGGAGTCGCGGGAAAAAAAGATCGATGGGTGAGCTCAGAGACGGGAGACGATAGAGGAGGAAGGGAGACGAAAGAAAAGCTGAAATTGGGCTTTATCGCATGGGGCAAAAAAGATGGAGAGTTGGGTCAAGGTTGCCGGGTGAATCGAGGGGTTCGAGTTTGCATGACTAGTCGATCATATATTTATATGGAAGCACGAGTACATATTTAAATAAATAAAAAAACACTCTCCCTCATCTGAACAATGACGACCCTGTCCTTCTCTTCCACCTCCGCAATATACAGCTCAGCAGATATTGGGATAGTTAGAAATCGATCGCCTTACTGCCTCTTACCCTTACCTCTGTCATCCGGAGCCGCTGCTGCGTTTTCTTGGAAAAGAGCATGCAATGACGTCTCTTTCGATCGTGCCCCGACTTTCTATCGAAAGGCGATGACGTCATTCAAAGTGTAACAGCTGAGATTCTGCAGAGAGTTGGATTGCCTGAACACGATACGTGCGTGGTGCATGATGAATGAATCGTGATCTTCACTGTAAGAAGAGAAAAACCGGACTATTAAAAAAAGATGTATTTTGCTAGCTAAAGCTAGATTAGCTTCGTAACGAAAAACGATTCGTGACGGTTTTTTTTTTAGCGTGGGCACACCAACAATCCCATATTACGAGGGATACCCTATAGTAATGCCTCCTATGTTGCGTGCTAAAAACTACTCATAACACGAGCATGGTAATGCACACGCAAATACTTTCAAATGTCCGTACCGTAAATTACCGTTCATCGTTGGGTGGATCGCGTTAACAGTGGAGAGCGTGCGATTTAGCATTGGGGGAATTGTCGCGAGTCACAGCCGTGGATGACAGATCTCTCGCGTCGGATCCACTCCACGAAATTCACCGAGCGAAGTGCAGTACTCGCGTGGACGCCTGCTTCATCGTGAAAATCGACACGTTACGATGAAGGCCCATCGGTGGTACTCCTTCAATTGTAAGGAATTCCACGACTGCCATCGGCTCGTAACGAACATCACGACATTTCACCGATATGAATCGCCACGGTAGCAGTGCCCTCTAGGTGGGAATCACGAAAGAATACGAAGTGAAGGATATTTGAAAGTATCTGCATGTGCATTCCCGTGCTTGTGCCATCACTTTGGAACGCAACGAAGAAGGAATCACTTTTGGGGTATCACTCGTAGGTTCGCGTCATTGCCATGCATTCATGCAATCCATTGCATCCACTCGCTGCGTCATCGCTGCTCTTACTCCCTGTGCGAAGTGAACTCACAGAAAGTGAATTCGATGAACCGACCGACTCGACGGAAGGTGTTTTCACCTTTTCCAGGATCCCAAGATTCTATGATCGTAGATTAGACCGATCAGTCGTTATCAGTTCGACGGTCTAAAGCAGGGGTCTGAAACTCGTTTCGGTGTGCGGGCTGCATCGCCGACATCGGACCTCGCTGCGGGCCTAAGTGGAAAATCCTACAGGGTGTCCTATTTAAGTGGAAACATGGAAAAAACGTAAATACTATATTGTATAATTCATATAACTTATATACACGTTATACTATAGGCTCTACATGTCCACCATTGTAATTGATGCACTTATTAAGGCGTTCTTAATAATAATATTTATTCCATCACTCTTGAAAGACCATTTGGTCCGTTGAGTTCGTTATGATATCTAAATCTACAAATATACATACTCTCATAAAGAGGCATAAGGTGAAGAGAAAAAAGAAAAATTAATAAACAAAAATAGATCAAATAAAATGTCAGTCTTTCCATTCATTCTGAACTTTTTCTCAGACATCTGGCGCAATTAGAGCATAACATGAAAAACAGAACATAAAAGCAAATGAATAAATCCCCTTTAGTATCCTCTTAAGTGGAACACTCAGCAGAATTAATATTCTCCTTCTACTTTATATTAGGTATATTGGGCCTGAAACGTTTCTTTCTCTGTGTTCGCATGTGGGTCTGGTGCCGCTAGTTTGAGACCCCCGGTTTAAAGTGTCGGACAGAGGTTTAGATGTT